TATTTCTTTGTGTTTGGAACATCCAGAATCCTCTTTGCTGCCTATTTGAAATTATACAAGCCGGGGCATGGAGAAGGGGACTGGACCTCTCCGACAACCAGGCACACTGAGCCAGCGCCTTGGCACCCACCCAGGGACCCGGGGTATGGACTTGGGGACTGGACCTCTCTCCAACAACCAGGCACACCAAGCCAGTGCCTCAGGGCCCACCCATGATCCCGGAGCATGGAGAAGGGGACTAGACCACCCTCCCACAACCAGGCACACCATGCCAGCACCTAGGGCCCTGCCCAGGGATTCAGGTCATGGAGAACGGGACCAGACCACCCTCCCACAACCAGGCCCACTGAACCAGTGCCTTGGGGCCCACCCAGGGACTCAGGGTATTGATTCAGGGACCAGACCACCCCCCACAATGAGGCACACTGAGCCAGGGCCTTGGGGCCCACTCAGGGACCTGGGGTATGGAGTTGGGGACTGGACCTCTCTCCCACAACCAGGCACACTGAGCCAGTGCCTCAGGGCCTGCCTGGAGTCCTCAGGTATGGAGGAGGGGACTGGAACTCTCTCCCACAACCAGGCACACTGAGCCAGCACTTCAGGGCCCACCCACGGACATGAGGCATGGAAAAGGAGACTGGACCTCTCTCCCACAACCAGGCACACCATGCCAGCACTTTGGGCCCTGCCCAGGGATCCANCAGGGTATGTAGTCGGGGACTGGACCACCATCCCACAGCCAGGCACCATATGCCAGCACATTGGAGCCCACCTGGGGACGTGGGGCATGGATAAGGGGACTGGACCTCTCTCCCACAACGAGGTACAACATGCCAGCACCTTGGGGCCTGCCAGGGGACTGAAGGCAAGAAGGAGACCAAACACACCCCGCAACCAGGCATAATGCCAGTGTCAAGAAGCATGCCAAAAACAGCACCCCCACGTGGGTGGCCCACCACAGTCACCACAATAACCATGGCTTCTGCAAAAGTGGCTAGACGGCACAGCCACCATGCAGATGGTCTGCCCACCACTGGAGTGCATTCACATAAGAAGAGTCACCAGCAGAGACAAAGAAAAGATGAGGATGTCTCTTTCCACAAAACCCATTTCAGTGACTGAAGAAGCATCTGCTCTATGATAA